GATTCTGCAGACTGTTGAGGGTTCAGCCTCCTGATGAGTCGGTGAAACTCCGACGAAACAGTTTGTCACAGCCCCTCGTTTGTTGTCCTCTCTTCTCTCTCTCTGCCTACGGTTTTACCGGGTAGTTCTGTTTGTGACGATATATGCACACACACACACACACACACACACACACACACACACACACACACACACAGAGAGAGAGAGAGAGAGAGAGTTAATTACAGGGAAAGGCATATATTCTTGCACTTAGAAGCTTTCTTCATTACTTTGTGCTACCTGGTGGGAGTACAACTTGGTGCACGGCCTTCCCCGGCATGATCTTTTGTTTTTTTGCTTTGTTTTTTGAAGGGCCCCTGAAAGCCCAACTGGCGAGCCTCGTCCAACCCCTGAAAAGCTCGGAAATGTGGGAAACAGCCAGTTTTCCCATTTTTCCCAAGAGTGACAGAGGTAGTGGTGGTTTAATATTGCCTGACGGACCCGAGAGAGACCATCCATGCAACCCGATTGGCGTCCACTGAATCGTTGGTTGAGGTGTTCACATTTTGAATGCTGTCATGGCAGCGATCGCTAACCATAGTTGAAAGATGACATGGTTTTGTGGGATGATTCAGGTCGGGCCTAAATCTTACGGCGGTGGAATATGAATCGGAAGACAAATTGGTAGAACAATACAATAAACAGCCATGTGTACGTAGACGTCCAATCCCTCCTCCTATTTGTCTCTCTGCCTATCTGTCTCTATGGCTACCCATCAGTTGTGCTGTCTTTCTGCCTGTCCTCTCTCGGCCTATCGCCCTCGTGCCATGGTGTCCATTGTTTGCTCGTTCAAAAGGATCCCTTTCATCACTCCCTAGGGCGCACTCACAGTAGGACATTCCTGTATCTGTCTGACTGCAGCTGCATCTAGTGCCATTGAGCTAGTTCTAGTGTGACTAAGCTCGTACAAACTTTTGAGGTGGACTGCTGCTTCTAGTGATGGAAAAGTTCTTCCTCTTGTACGTTCTTTATCTTCACCAATGGACGAAGGGTCGATAGCTGTATGCACTTGTTTTCATGTGCTAATAACATTTGTCATATGCCGAAGAGGTGCCCTGATGTGTATGAGCATCATTGTGCTGTTTAGCTCTCTATGCGCTTATGTGCACTGTTGTAATGTTGGGCTCTCTGTGCACTTATGCAGTTGCTGGACCTTCTGTTCTGCAGTTGTCGGGTCTTGTGTTTCTTCCCTTCGTTTTTTTCTTGAGCTTGTGGGTGGTTACTGCTCTTGCTCGATGCATTTCTAAAGTGGTTTTGAGATGCTTATGCTCTGTACCAATTGGGCAAAACTCTGAACCGAGGTGAAACCGTGAAAGGACAGATGTGAAGTAAGGAGTGTAATTGCGCTTTGTGTCACGGTACTCATTTCTCATCAGACGTCCAAGAATGGGATAGGACTGGTGTTGGATTGACTCTTTGAGATGTTTGTGAATTTCCATCTATTTTTGTAGACTCCGTCTGTGTGTGTGTGTGTGTGTGTGTGGGTGGGTGGGTGGGTGCGCGTGGGGGTGGGGGTGGTGGCGGGTGCAGGGGGATGGGGGTTGGTGCATGTTTTTTTGTTTTTTTTATGTGCGTGTGTGTCTGTGCGCATGCATGCTTGAAGGCAGCTACTTTGCTATTCTTTGCTTTTGTTCATGATGAGATTGTTTTCCGGTATTTCTTTTCTTGCCCTTGCTGCTGACTCCCTTTCCTATCGGTTTACTGCAGACAATCTATGCTGCTCTGGTATTTGAGTCTGGCGATTCTGATGTACAATTGACGAATGGTCTGCCAGAAGATTTGAAGTACTATATTAGGATGAATGGTAAGCACAGGCTGCTAAGTGACAATGATTTGATGTATGTCAGTTCGTTGTTTGTTTGGTTTGACTTTCTGTGGCACCCAGAAGCAAATAATCTCAATGACATGGCTCATAGTCGGGAAAGCTCTTCCCTGCTTCATCAAATTATGGGTTACTGCATACAGTGCAAGCTCTAGATGATGAAAGAGCAAGTAGTACAATGTTATCCAATTAATTAACTGGTGCTCTATTCTGTCAGGAGCAGTTAGGTGCATGACGTTGTCCTGCATTGCTGTGTGACATTGTAAATTCGTGAGGGGTTTTGTGGGAGATTCAATTTGCCAAAAAAAAAGAGGTTATGTGGATATGTCCCCATATTTAGGTCAGTCTTGTTAACAGGCTTATTAGACGCTCCAAACTACGCGTATATGAAGAACCCAGTACGTTACACAGCTGTGCCATTGTTGAAGTCTCTCTCTCTCTCTCTCACACACACACACACACACAACACACACACACACACGCACACACACACACACACACACACACACATTTTCTTGCTGGTGGAGTCCTCTGTCTTAGGTAAGTTGCTTCTTGCCCTCCACCCTTTTATGGATCAAACAAATATATGTATATGTGCAAGTGTAGAGTGGGTTTTATGACTGTGACAGATTAGTTTCTGAGACTTACTGCCGTTCTTGTCAGAGGATTGCAGAGGCGGTGTGAGTGAAGTGACCACTTTTCTCAGGGGTGTAGCGAAGTCTGGGCGACACGGCGAGCCCTTAGCCATCAGTCAAATGCATCTGTCGGGGTTCAACCTCTTGATGAGTCGGTGAAAGTCCGGCGATACAATCTGGCACTGGCATGCTTTTTTCCTTCTTTTGTGGAGTTGTGTAAAGCAAAGATGATACTACACTCTTTTCAATCGATTTGTGCCTTTTTGAATGGCCATGACTGTATTCTGTTGAGGGGAGCTTTTTCAGTCATTTCCCATTTGACTGCTAGGTAACGAAGGTGTTTGGGCTTATTTCTCCCGACGCTTGGCCTTGACTTTCAATTTCCACCTTTCGTACTATTTTCAGTCTCTCTATTAGCATTCTGTGTCATCTTTCCCTGTGCTATGGACGAGTATGGTTGTTAACGTCTCTCGTTTCACATTGTCGTCTGCTCTCTTGCTCTTCATTTTGTTTGTTTCTCTTCTTCTTGAGCATATGGAATGCCAGCAAGTTGTGGATATGGGTGCAGCAGAGTGAATTGTGGGAATGAATTCATCTGGAGTGCGAGCAATTTGTGGATATGGGTGCAGAGTGGATTGTGGGAATGAACTTACACAGTGTGATGCGTCACCAGAGGATTTTGTCAGAAAGGGACTCACTTGTTGCTTTGCTGAACTGTGGCCTACAGGAACATACCTGCCATCGTCATCCAAATCGGAGATGGTCCGGAGAGACCAGTGTAGAGTCTCCGACAGTCGCATGTGCGATACTCACAAGTACATGCTTTCAGGTTTGTTCCTCTTGCCAGTAGCATTCTCCCTCTGCTTTTGTGGCAAATGGAGGGCTGCAAATTTCAAATATTGACTGGGTTTGCATATGGAAGCAGGTTATATGAGTGTGTCATGGTGGTAGATTGGCTGTCCTTGTTACAAAGTACTGTACATGTTGATAGCATCAGCATTACTGAGAATATTACCACTCTGGCCATGTTTCATCGTCTATAACCCACTGCTGAAGTTGAGATGGAGGAGGGACTCTATTCATAAGAGGCAAGGTATGGGGACATGAGGGGAATGCCTGCATACCTTAGTGACTGTTTTCAGTGCGAGTTTTGAGTGCGAGCATGAGGACGACGAGAGGAAGGATGATGGTAATCAGGAGGATGAGAAGGGAGGTAGTAAGGGAGCAGGAGCAGGATAACGGGCATTGCCTTGATGGCGTGGAAGACTACCGGTAGGGATTTCA